CTCCGGGCCGCGGCGCGCGCGCACCGGGGCGCTCGTGCCATCCACAGCCGCGCGTGCGCGGGCCTTCCCGCGGAGGGTCCGGTAACACCTACGTCTCCTGGGATGGCGGCGGGAGTCGCGAAGATGGAGGCCCCGAGAACCACGTCTCTCTGACTGCCGGCGGTGCCTGCGTAGTGTAGCCCTCGCTGTTCCACAGACATCATGGTTGCCTTTAGTTCACAAATTACTATTTTTATCTCAGGCATGTTCAGGGGAGCCTCTGGTTACTTGCCTGGCCTCAATGAGCTCATTATGAGGTCCATGTCATGCAAGCCTCCCAAGTGCCACCGTTAGATCACATTAGCAATCTGAAACCGCGCATCCGTCCACTTCCATGCCATCAGACAAATTTACCTACGCACACATCTCTTCCACAGTTTCCCTGCCTACACACTAAGGCAGACAGAAAGTGGCATGACGTGTTGCCAACCAAAGTAAGTGAGAAGCCCTGTGGCCATAGCAGTCCTGTGTGGACATAAGTATGTCCACAGCGCAACTCATGGAGTCTCCTGAAATGTGACAAGACTGTGCTGAAAGGAAGATGTTTGTGCCTATTTCCATGAAGCATTCCAAGCTTAGTCTTCCTCCCATCTCCTTCCAAGGTCTGGACTGGACTTTTCCTCGCCACGTCCTCTCTCAAGCTTCTATTTACACCACCAGAAAAAGCTGGTGAGGCAGAGAAGGGCAAGCTGAAGCTATCAGCCTTTGGGCAGGACACTGCTGGTCAGTGCCCACCAGCCCCATGGATGCCTGCGTGGAGCATACTGCTAGAGATGTTCTGCTCTAGGTTCCCTTGCCTTGAATATTTGAACATTATTAGCTAAAGGTAACAGAAAACAAAAGCCCACTCTTGCTAATTTTCTTGCCTCTCTCCTCAAAACTGGTCATTAATCAGAAGGGAGGTGTGGCTGATCCTAGTAGACATACCTTGTCAGCAAGCTGTTTTGTACTGGCTGGTCAGGTGGCTGTGTAGACACTGTAGGAGGATTTAGATACCTGGGAAGGCAGCAGTTGCACAGAAAGATTTAGGTGTGATTTCAACCATTCTCAGGAACACAGGAAGCAACTAGAGGCTGTAGAAGGTCTGCAACGTGTAGCTGATGCATTCCAGATGTCTGCACAGCAGTGTGTGGACAGGCAGAAAGAAGGTCAAAAGCACACACTGACAAACAATGCCAGTGCTGAGAAGCAACTGGAGCAGACTGGAAGGAACTCTGAACCCTTGTTCAGAGGAGTTAGATGATGAAATCCAGCTGGGAGAACTGCAGAGATCAACTCCAAACAGTGACAGGGAAGAAAAGGAAGCAACAGGCAATTGCCATAACAACACACTCTTCACCTGTAAGCCTATGTATTTCAAATATTTCATGCTTCCATAGGAGCTGGCATTTCCTTCATTATCCCACTTTACTCTCCTTTTGTTTGTTTCTGAAATAGCCACAAAATTAATTTTTGAGTACAAGTTTTACCTAATGGGTGAGACAAATGGTTTTCTCAGAGCACATTTAACATGTTTTCCATAGGTTTACACCAACCACCATCTCAAACTCAAAACCTGACACATTTATTTACTCTTCTGAATTAACAGATTCAAGTTAATCCTTTTATTTTTAAGGGCCATTTATTAAATGCAGTTAACATGACAAGTATAGGCTCCCCATATTTGTGAAACTGTCTCCTAAGTCCATATCTATAGTTTAGCTTCATATTCACTAGAGTATAAACACAATTAGAATAAGGCATACAAAGGGCTTCCAGCAACAACTTGTTTCTTGTTGCACCTGAGACATCATCATGCTCATCATCTTATAAGGCATTTTTCCCTATGATCAGAAAAGCAAATTTAAGCTAACAGTAAAGTCTATGAGAATACTCTGACATCTGAAACAATGAGAATTTGTTTCCACTCCTTCTCTCTTTGTACAGAGCTGAGCGGAACTTTTTATTTACCTCAGATATAAAATCTGATTTTTATATAAAGTATGTGCATTCAGTCTCATCCAAAACATTTGTATGGCACGTACAAACTTACATTTAACTTTTATCTTTATTTAAAAAAAAGGTAAATTTTCTACCTTTCATCAGAAAAATCTCATATAATCAACGCAGAAGCCATTTCCGCAATTATTCACTTTGTCCTTCACTAACCTATATGAACAAACTGTGTCTTGGGCTGTTTATATCAAAATAATGATAAGGAATATTTTCTAAGTATTCCAGCTGGATTCATATTAATGGAAAACCCTCCATGGAGCGGAGGAGAAACACCCTCAGAATGAAAGTTTGGCTTTGATACACTGCCTGAGCAACTGGATACTTCCATATACACAAAAAATGTAGGCAAAGGACAACAGAAATGGAGGAACTGAGGTGTGGAAAAGCTGTTAACCATTCTGCTCACAGACCAAAGGGAGAAGAACAGAGAATTAGCAACTTTCTCTAACATATGGGTCCTGTTCTGATTCTCCGTAACATACTTCCACATCCCCAGCAACACAGTGGAAAAGGAGCCTAAACCCACTATAATGCTACTAAATACCCACTAGTGCTCATTTTCAAGAAAGCCATGGTACATTTCCTCAGCTGTAATTCATTCTTCTTCCCACACTTCAGAGAAAAGAGGTTTTATTAAGTGGCATTTTCAATTATGACAGACATGAATCCAGGAGAAAGACCTGTACTTGCATTCAGCTTTTTAAAACACAAAATAGTGACTGGTGAGTACAAGTATTATACAGGAAATCAAGTCACTCAAACCCTCTTCATTGTGAAGAGGGTTGAGACCGGGAAGGTTCACAGAATGCTGAGAATGGGAAAAGGATCAAAAGCAATGTTCAAGGCATTCATGAACTGAACAAATAGGTGCTTTGAAGTCTATACTTTTGTTTTCCTCCCTTTACAAGTCTATACTATGATATGGAGATAAAAGCCAGTGTGTCTGTGGGGAAGGTCTTCACCAGTACTTTTTCTAAATTAAGTTCCACGGTTTTGTTTTTGTTAAAAAAAGTCATTTATAATTTAATACCTGTTTCAGGATTCTGAGATCCATGGTGCTGTTAACGTTGCACTTAATTGGCATTATCCATTTTTAAAAAGAAATTAAAAAGCAGCTCTGAACTTTGCTTCTGAGATGGAAGCACTGTCTCTGAACCAACAATGATTCCTGTCACTCTTGCTTTGCATCTTTCAAGGCCTGAAGTCTTTCTAAAAGGGGTGGATGGGAGTAATGCCACATTGAAAAGATCCAGTCAGAAACAGGGAATCCTAAATTATCTTTGTTTAACTTGATCAAAGCAGAATATAGGTCTTTAGCCTTCCCAAGCTCCTTGGCAAATGAGTCTGCTTGAAACTCAAATCGTCGGCTTAATACAGTCAAGCAAAATGAGAGAACCTGTGGAAAGAAACATATTAAAAATTATTTTTAAAATTCAGCCATCTACAAGTTCCTTACAGTATCAGTAAATACCACTGTATCTGCCTTCCCACATCCCACACATAACTGTGGCTGTAGAATGATCTCACTAAGGTTTATCCAGGCCACACCTGAAACTGGGAGTCTTACCCAACATGGAGCACTAAGCCTACTTATTAAAACAAGATACCAGATGGAGCCCCTAAAAACTTCAAATTCCCCCCCCCCCAAGTAAAAATAAAATCATTATTTAAATAGGACAATATTTCAGCACCTGTGTCTTGAAAACAATTTACCTCATTGTAAGGTGAAAAAATGAACTGGAAAATAATCATCAAGCCTATCAGGGTAGGCTGGGTGTCATAGAAACCAAATGCAGCAAAGAGTTCTTTTCGACCAATTAACACAGCAAACAGGAAGAAGCAGAGGAAGGAATTCATCTAGAGAAAGGAAACAACATTCTTGATTAAGATGAGTTTTTCATCTAAGTCTAAAGCATGACCTATTCATATTAGATTTGGATAGAAACACCACTGAAAAAAGCCTAAATAGATTACTTTAGAACTAATATACAAAAAGGAACAAACAGCTGGCCTTTACCTGCTTTCTGTAAATGCATTCAGTAAAGAAACACTATTTTCTGTCAGTGAGCTAAAAAAAAAAAAAGTCTAAGTAGCAAAGGAAGATGAAAAGGCAAGAAGACAAGGTAAGTGAGGAGGGAGTACGGGGTAGAATCCAACTCCTTGGAATTAAGCATAGGTTCCAAAAAGTTTAAAATCAAACAAAATGTGTCTGTGCTGTGTCATACTTCTATTCCTGGAAACAATCTACACTTCCATCTAAGCCATGTGTCCCTGTGTACAAGCACTGTGCTTGCCTGGCTTTTCAGAGGCAAGAGGCAGGACCATGCCTTACCAAGTTTTCTACAGAAGATGATTAGTATCTTTTCAATCCATTCAACTGGCTGTTTGGTCTTTTTAGAGTAATGTGGAAGGTGCCAGAATATTGTTTGTTATTGCAACACGAGACAGAAGAGGGACAGCTATGACAGCAAACAAACAACAGAAAAAGTAGAAGACATTGCAGAAGAATCTGTGAAAATTTCTGGAAGTGAAGATAAAATCTACCTATTACAGTAAAATCATAGTACCTAGAAAGTGGATCCAAAGACAAAAGTTACATGAGTTAGAGTGGCAAAAGCATCACAATAGTTGCTATTTAGTAGGGATCAACACTGATGTCAGAAGTTAGAAGGTAATTCTGTTAAAGCAGAAAACGAGGAGGACCTCACTGAAGTGTTCAGTTGCACGGATAAGAAAAAGCCGGTGTGGAAACAGAATGAGAGAGATTTTCTTAAACAGGAGCTTGATAGTGATGTTTACAGCCTAAAAAGCTTGTGAATAGCCTTAGAAAAAGAAGAGAACAACACTCCTGGAATGGTGCACACATCTCAAGAAAGACATGATCAGAGTTATAGAAGGTGCATAGAAGGGGAGCTAAGAAAAACAAAAAAACCGAAAGGCTGGGAACTTGGGAGAAAAGAAGGGTGAATGATACCTGGAACAACATAGATCTACACCAAAGCATCCAGTAGACTGCTGATAGTAATTTAACAGAAGACACATAGCTGTGCCTTGCAAATAAAAGAATTTGAAGTAGGAGGTTTGGGGGAAGAATTCCCTTGTATAGTGCAATGCCCAAAGGCATATGCATGAGTAAACAGACCATCAGGTTCCTTTTCTTCAAAGGTGAGGCTGGGCCATCTCTAGAGATTGCTTCAGTGTTCACCCCCATTTGAGCATGCGCCAAGAATGGCACAAATAAAGTTATTTACTAATAATCAATCCACAAGGTATGAGAATACAATATAAATAAGAATACCCTCCTGTGTGAGATTTCATAATCCTCAATAGCATTTCTTCTCAGCTCTCCAAAGAACAAGACTGATAGAAAGTCTCAGACACACAGCTTTCTTCGAGATAATGACAAATACCTAAACAAATGCAGGCTGGGAGACAGGATACATCCAATCCTATCCCTAGTACAGGGATGGAAATAGACCTTCAGAGAAGGCCCTGAGATGCAAACAGACATGGAAGAAGTGTTACAGAGCAAGAAAAATGTGCCCCAACTTCAGAATGCTTCTGAGATGAATTAAAATTGGCAGCAGACATACTTTCTTAGATGCTTTCTACCAGCCAGATGGAGCAAGGAGGGGACAGAAAGGCTGGTGCATGTTCCCTGTAGATACAGACACCCGCCCCCCGCCCCCCCCAACAAAAAACCCCAACTTTCCGTCACAGAGCATAAGTATGTTGTGTGACTATACACTTACAAATCTGGAAGCAGGTATTTGGAAACAGCAATAATTACAGAATGCTCTAGGAAAACCACCAGTTTATCATCACTTACCTGGCTGATGATAATATTTTTGACAGTGTGACCTAGTTTCCAGTGACCCAACTCATGACCAAGTACAGCCAGAACTTCTTCATTTTTACATCCTTGTTTCTTATTCTGACGGAGTAACAAAGCAGAAGTAGTATCAGGTATGGCTGAACACAACTGAGTAAACTTCTTATTTATTAGTTTGTTTTTTCCTAGGTCATTTAAGCATCCCTAGATCAGGCCATTCCCTTTTACCAGCAGATACACAGGTATAATTTCTTATAAACTTTTAAGTTCAACAAGATTTCTACCATGAGGTGGTGTTCTCTTATTTCTACATATGCAGACATGCCTATGCAAACCTGGAAGAACGCTGGAGAGATGCGCCTTCCAAACTCTCTCCTACCATCCCTTGATCCCATCCTGTTTCTTTACTCAAGAAAAGGCATTACAGTGGAAGCAGACATTCAGAGGCACAGACTTTCAACAGAGAATTGAGAGCAAAGTCCTCTCCCTACTTCCTTCAACACTCAACATGTAGCCCTCCTCCCAAGGCACTACTGTTCCTTTAAAAACAAATGACAACATCCCAGTCCTCTGCAACAAAAACTATCATTAGGAAAGATGGACATCTGTGCCTCTGAAGGTACATTAGCAAGGCAGAAGCAAGCATGTGGGCTTGCGTACTGAGAACATAGCCAAAGAACCTTTTGAAATGGAACAAATGATTCGCATTATGACTAGATCAGGTTGAGCTCAAAATCCCCTCCCTCTCATCATCCACTTCTGCAGTATGCTATACCAAACCATGGATGAAGAGAATTCCACCACCAACATGGTTACAAGAAACAGAAGCTGGACTGAACAATAACCTATACATTGGCCTAACCCTAGGCTGCACGAGGTAATTCTTTCTTCTCAGAATTACTCCTTCAGGCTCTTCAGAAAGTATTCCATCAGTTTTAATCATTCCTACACTCTCCCAAAGCCACAAAAAGCTGTTACAGCAGACTCCTTATGTGCAGCTGCACATCAATGGAAAGGACAATGAAAAGCCATCATCCTGTTCTGGACTAGGGCAGGGGAGGATGCACATGTGGAATCTGTACATGTGTGCGCATGTGCGTGCCTCTTGCACCAAAATTCTTGCGTGTAGTAAATGACACAAAAATGACACGCTGATAGTCAAAAGCATTTCATTCTAAGGAAAGCTTCAGTGTGGCAGTCCCAAGAGAAGGAACAGGAGCTAAAACCCTGAACAGGTCCCTTATTCAAACAATTACAAGGAAGGCCTATTTTTTACATGCAGGGAACAAATGTTTTGCTGAAGCCCCTGAGGATTTCTATGGTCTCTTTGGTGCTATCTGCAGCACTCACACAGCCCCAGAAATTCCAATAACCAGCTCAACTTTCATGTTGAAATCATTAGGTTTTGGGTTTTAGCATCTCGCTCAGGACCTTTAAAATGCATTCAGAAAACACAAGGGAATATCTCACCACAAAGTTAATGTAAATAGCATGATGAAAACCAAAGATTAACTCACTTTGGTTTTAGACTTTGTCTCTTCATTCTCGCCATCTTCTCCTGCTGGCTCTTTGTTCAATGCAGAATAATCTTCCAGGAGGGTGTCAAAGAGTACTATTCGCTTATTCTTGAAGAATCCATAGAAATAAGCATTGCTATGAGAAGAACGCTTAGAACCTAATGGGGAAAATTTACATTGAAGGCCATGATCTGAATAATCCCATGCACTAAAGACTATGCAATATTACATAGAACAGATTCTTCTAAAGGAATTCTCAAAGTCCCCAAATGAACAGTAGACAAACTCAAGCAAATGAGTTTGCAGGTTGAAGCGTATTTTAAAATGATGTAAGTAATGATGATCTCATTTACTGACTCCAATAGAGAAATAATTTTCATCTGTAACATGTAATCACTAAAAACAAGAGCAGTCTTGTGAAGATTTAATATCCAGAAGAAAAGCACTTTCTATTGCAATTTCAAGTTCCGAGTGGAAAGAGCATTCTACATAGAACGCCTGCTGCCCTCCTGGCAAAGGGCCTGTGACGAATACGTTTAGAATTCTTTCAGTGTGCCAGCAAAGATGATTCAAAAAAGGTAAGGATGAAGATGTTAGATAAGGAGAAGATAAAGGGATGAACTACAGACATCAGGCAGTCCCTCAATATTATTTTTGTTAGAAATAGGCAATTTTTTACAGCTACTTTTATCTAGATCAGGTGAATCATGGACTGTTTCTACTATCAATATACTTGGGGCCAACAAACTCATCTCTTTCCATAGAACATGGACTGTTTCAGTTGATTAAAAAGCTGTCTAGATCAAAGCAGCTATTAAAACTTTGCCTGTTTTTTGCCTGTGATTAGGAGCTGTTGCAACATCAGGACTGAAAGAGGTCTCTGAGAGAAGTGGATTGCTCTGTTTTTTGCAGCAAAAGATACTTCAAGTCGAGGGTGTTTGCCTTCAACTCTTACTATAAATGTACGAGCTGCATAAACTCCTTAGGGCACAAAATATCCATTGTTACACTGCAAGCCAACCCATGGTATGGTCATGGTAACCTTCAGCACCAAACCAAGACAGATAACAGAGGAAGAGGCTGGTCAGAGTATGAAGCCTCAGCATCCAGTCCCTTCTCAGTGAAGTAATCTGGACAGCCACAGGATAGCAATGTTCCCTTTCATCTGTGTATCATAAAAAACTTCATCCTCCACTAAGTGTTAGTAGAGAATGAACCTTTGTAATCTGCCTGTTACAGAATGAACCCTGAAATTAAAGGACTTGGTTGCACATGTTACTAAGAAGTCAGTTCTGGAGTGGGAACATCCAAGACAGAATGCAGAAAAACACCGGCAAAAAGATGTTCACACATCTCAGAAGGGAATGGTGCTGGCTCAATGCTCTTAAAGACACGAGTAAAGAAAATGCGGGTTTGGCAGCCTTCCTCCACCGCAGATCACTGCTACTAAATGCAGACATGCTGAAGAAGCCAATGCAGTAGTACACTACACAGGTGCCAGAGTACCAACAATTGGCTCATAGGACTTTCACCATAGTTAAAAGCCAGCTGTGCATATGGGAAAAACTTAGTATTTGGCAAGCCTCTACACTGACTCAAGCTTGAAAAGCTTCAACTTCACTAGGAGAGGCATTTCTTGGGCCCCAAGTATATCAATAGCAGCAGTTCCCAGCTGCACTGAGGCAGAGCACTGGATGGATTTGGCCAGCCCAAGGTTTTGAAAGCCACAGCTCCCAGGCTAGAGAAAGCCTTCATCACCCTCTCTTACAGCAAAATTCTACCATTTCAGCTCTTTATGCCATCTCATGCTGCTTTCACCAAGGCAATAAAAACACCTCTGATCCTCACAGGTGGGGCACAAAACCAAAACAAAATTTGGGAAAGTCCCTGAAATCAAGTTCAGAAGGGAATAAAATGAGGAACAGTGGAAATGGCAAACAGTAAAATGCTCCATGAACATGGAAGTGGAGAGGAAGTGACATGGCAGCTGGCATGCTCCATGTTACAATCCATGACCTGAGAAAAGAGGATGAGACATTCATTACTATAAAGTGAAAAAATTAGTCTCACATAGAAGGCGTGAGTCCATCCAGCCATACCGTAAGAAACCATCCACGTTAACACTCTAAGAAGGAACAGGTTTTTTTAACTTTCATAACTTTTTCAATTGTTTCACCAAGAATTTGAGACAATTAATGCTAAACTGAGACGAGAAATGATAAAAAAAACCCTTTTCCCTCTGGTTTAAAGTTCTAAAATTGGAATCTTGATTGGTGCTTCCATTTCTGACTGTGCTATATATTTCCATTCCACAGAGCCAAAGCAATGATTCCAACAAGATGCTGAGTTAAGGCTGTACATTCAGCTTCACTTTTCTAACCTCAAGGCAAAAAAAGGAAAATGGTACAGAAATTGACGAGCATTACAATAGCTGAGGAATATAAGCAACTGCCCTACTACAGCATCTGCAATCAAAGCTAAAAATAAACAAATTCAAAATTACAAAGTCTTTTTATTAAAAAAAAAAAATCTCACCTTCAACAACATACACCTTAGTCAATGGGAAGTCAATGCTCTTTGCCATTGTTTCAATTTGTTGCTTGAGCTCTCCCTCAGGAAGTGGAATGAATTTATCAAACAAAGGTGCAATATAATCTGCATAGATTGTAACAAGCACCTGCAAACACATACAGATATTATTAACAAGGCATACAAATGTGTGTTTAGTACTAAAGGTGGAGCATGAGTAAGTACGAAAAGAGGGCACAATTTCAGAAAAAACCACTTGATAAAGCAGTGTCCTGTATGATCTGTAGCAAGGCTCTCTATGGGTCATTCCCTCTACGGAGACAACTACTGACAGTCAGCAATTCAACAACAAGATGGGGGTGGGGGCAGGTTAATCTACAGTCCTCAACAGAATTAGTGTAAATAGTGCTTTTGCTCTGACAGTTCATCAAGCCCCAGAAGGCAAAACTACTATGACAGCTGGGAGCAGTGGTCTTATCAGTGACAGGCTGTCACTTTCACTCACTTCACCGATACTGGAAAGCTCTCAAGTGTTTCATAATGAACAGCAGAGATGACTGAACCAGGAGACAGTCCAGCTTCTTCAAATTCTTACTAACTTGCAAAGCCACAGTCTAAAACAGGGAAAAAATTCACATCCCCTATTTTCTTTCCGTTCTCCCAGTTGTATGCAGGGCTAAGGAACTGCCTGATGCCTCTGGTCCACAATGATTAACAGCCATGTCCCAAAAAATCACTACAATGCACCTGCATCTCTTCAAACTGGCAGCAGATGCAGCCCAGATGAGAAAGCCAGGGCTGGAATAACACTGTGATGGGAGGGAAAGCTGAACTCCCTTCCCTCACACTCTGGACCTTCACAAAGTGATTTTGATCTATTTATTTTAAAGAAAAGGACTGGAGAAAAGTTTAAATTCTGGTTAGCAAAAAAGGAACAGGACATGAGAGGCAAATGGACATCAACATTAACTTTGAAGTTATCTTGACAGTTTTTCTTCCACTGAAAACAAGTACCTTGACTTCTGAAAGTATCCGCACTGTTGAAAAAATCCAATGTAATCTAAAACTATGGAAACTGACTTTTCCAAAGTCATAGCAAGACAGGGCATCAATATGAAACACCACTAGAAAATAAAAGTTATTTTCATTACTGTAACTGTTAAGACAAGGGTTTAAACCCCTGCAGGTATTTTGCAGCAAGTGTAGGAGTGTATTTTATAGAGCAGAAATAAGCTGTCTGTTTCAGTCCAGACAAGTGTCTTCAGACCATGTAGTATGCATGGACTACTTTTAAGTTTTTATCTCTGATCTTTGTGCAATCCCTTGACATCAGCAGGCAAGATAGGTAGAAGGATGCAACTCTAAGTATAATTACAGAGTTATGGAATGTGATTACAATTTTTCCCTAAAACAAACGCTAAAGGGTAAATCTGACACCTCTTAAGGTTATTTTGCATGTCAAAGACATGTTCAAATCTACACATTAAGGCCTCAAACCATGATCAACACCCTGTTAGGCTGCAGCGACACTGCAAGACACCAGAAAAGCACCAATTGTCTGGGCATGTACTTTAATCCTCAGGAAAAAAATGGGGGGGGGGGGGGGGGGGGGGGGGGAAGTGAGTCTATCTATCTTGCTACATAATCTTTCAGTACAGCACTCTGTAGCTCTGACAAGACATGTTTTATTTTCTAGCTTTTGTTGTGTAAAAGATAGGCTAACCCCTGCTTTATCAGTTTCTGAAGTATATGTAAAATGTCAAGAAAAAAAATCTACATGGACAGCTCAATTGGAAGGGGCATGCAAAGCAAAAATAAAATACTAGTTTGTGATAGGAAAGTGACAGAGAAAGAAATGTGGTATCAGTTGAGTATGTTCTTGTTCTCACCTTGAAATTTAATGTTAGGTACTACTCACCTACATCTCTTCTTTCTACTAAACTTGCTTGATAAAGACTATAAAATGGACATTCAGAAAGTTTCTCATATGAGATCATACAACATTTTTTTACAATATATATTTTAAAGATAAGATGGCAAGAATAAAAACAGCCAATGACTGGTATAAAGGAAGCTAAGGAAAATTTTTTCACTTTCGGTGAATAAACGAGTGCAGGCCATTTCAGAAAATCCTGTATCTTTCAATCCTGAAAGTACCAATTCCTTTAAAATTTCAGCTTAATCCTTCCATGAAAAAGCAAGTTTTTAAGGCCTTTAAGACTAAAGACTCAAAATATGAACTGGGTATCACATGAGGAACTAATATCTCCCCAATTTTACCAATAATAAGGCTACACTAGAATAATCTGTAAGGACTGTTTCACTCACGTTGACAGAGCAGTAGCTCAAACGCTGAATTATGATTTAAGAGAGTAGTGCTGATCAAAGCTTGAAAGAAAAAGAACAATTCTTTAAGAATATCAGACTCCTGATCAGAGTCTGCACAAAGCTTTCTCTTAACAGTCATTTCAATACACATGAACTCACATTTTTGAGACCTAACACTATGATTTTTCAGAATACAGAGACAAAAAAAGGGAAGATGTCAGAGCATAAGGACACCAGAAGTACAGAAAGCAGGAGCCAGCACAACAAAACAACAGGAAACACTGTATAATTAAGCCAACAAACAAAAAAAAGCTTGAAAGAACTCAAAGTAGCAATTGTAAGCTAGACTTACCACCTAAATGGGGCACTTCTGCTACTATACTACTGTCATGGAGTTCCTCAGAAACACGTAGCTGGTAACTGCACTATGCCAGAATTAGTGGCCATACAGAAATCTGCTAATCCACACAGGTTTTACTTCACTTACACGTTAAGCATCAATGAAGCAAAAATACAAGTAAGCAACAAATACAACCCAGATAATGAGATCTGTATCCCTTAAAAACAGGATTATGAAAATACTTTGCAGTCAAGATTTAAACTGAGCCACAATTCCTTCCATGTTGCCATGTCTTGAGAAAGTCAATGCAGCTGTTGGATATCCAAGTGGGAAATCAGATTTTCCTGCATTAATTGCAATGGCCTCCCATGTAGCATTATGATCACATTTTTGTACAAATGCAGCCTGTGCTTTAGAAAGGAAGCTGACAAATTGAAAGTCCAAAAAAAGCTATAAAAGTGATCTGAATCTAGAAGCAGTGGTGAGAAGGAAATGAAAAAAAATAAAAAGCAACACTTAAGTCATGAAAGAGAAGCTTAAGAAAGAAAACAATCATCATTTCCTACCCCGGTATTCCTAAAAATTTTCTTGATGATGCACTGCAGTTCAACCACAAAGTCTGAACTTAACACAAGAATTAGGGATAGATTGACCCAAATTTATTGTTAGGCTAACATGGCAGGCTTTATTACATTACTGTAACGTAGTAATTCTTTTACTTGTTAAGGTGCTCTTTTAATCTAAAAATGAATGAATATACACAACGGTACTTCTGTAATTTCTTCCTTGGGTGAGCAATGGTTAGTATGTTGAGCAAAAAGACAGTAGAGCACAATGTCAAAATAGAAAAAATAAAAATACAGACCTTGAAGCTTATATTAACAATAGAAAACATCAAATCCTTATGATGTATACAAAAAGATCCTTTTAATATAAGCCCTAAAAATGTCATTTACCAATTCAGTGTATAAAAGCAGCTATAGAAGCAGAAGCAGAAATGGAAAATTGCTACTAATCTCAATACAAAGCAATGCAATTGAGAATTGGTGTTTGATAACCTGCAAGAAAAGCCCAATGGAAACATTACCGACCAAAGCACATTCTGCCTTGTCTTACCAATCTGCTGGCAGTTGTCCTTGTGCCCTTTCTTATTTAAGAAAAAGGAAAACCTATCACCACATACTGCTGTATTTCCAGTATCTATTCTAAAGTTTTTGAATGTTTACTTTTCAGTTGATGAAGACACTCCAGTATTCGATAGATAAAATAGACGATATCACATTGATGTGGAAATTAACATGAGCTATTACTCCTGAACAAGTACACTGAGAGCAAGACACACTGTTAAAGTTTGTAGACACTAAAATTCCCAGGAGATTTAGATTTTTCTCCATTTTCTTTCAGTTATGTTTTTAAACCTCAGCACACTAAGCCATACAAGTAAGCTAGCATTTGGAAGAAACCCAGACATATTCTCATACTCACCAAGGAAACAACTAATGTAAAGAGCCAGGCGTAGATGAAGAAGTAGTCTCCCCCTATTTTAATAATGTAAAGCAGAAGGGATGTCACTGGTAACAGAATACACTGAGTCACGATAAACTTCTTGATAGCATCCTTAAAAAAAAATCCCAGCGTCTGTAAAGAAAGGATATCAGTGGTATTTTCAATGTAAATATTGATGTACCACAGTGGTTAATGAACAGATCCCTTCAGTGGATGCAGAGAAACAAAATAAGACAAATTGCAAAACAGCAATACCAATGTGATAAGGAGGAAATCAGTCAGTTAAGAAAAGGTGAAAGAACATTTTCACCTCCTCTCCCAGTAGCTGTGGCTCTTTACATCCACACGGACGCCAAGCCCAGGCAGATACATCCTTCCTTAGTAAGAT